CAGGGTGGTTGGCGCCGGCCTCTGGGAGGCTGTTCTGATGTGGCGCTACTAATTGGGTGTAGGATAGAGAGTGGGGTGTGAGTTCTGAGAGTGGCGAGATACCGGAACAAACTCTGTTATGATAATTGTTTGAGTTGGCTCAACATCAGTGTCATTTCAATTGTGATCCTCGCAGGTTCTTCTTGTGATTGGTTGTTGGGAGTTTGTCAGAGAGTGAGAAACACTGTGTCTTCTCCCCACCTGTGCATAGCTGTATTCCGCTGCCTACTCTGATCTGTGTCCAGTGTGGACTCTGTCTCCTCTCCCCCTTCTCTTATGCATGTATGGGCGTGTATGAGATGGTCTGTGTGTGAGTGGCGGTAAAAATCGTCCGACAACCAAGTTCATAACGGTATCCAAAGTCGCTCCTCGCTCCTCTTTGTCTGGCGCCCAGCGCCTAGCCTACACTACTCGACTATCCTACCTACATCAGCATTCTCGCAACAGGCTCACTTCGACTCTCGAAGACCAATGTACATGATGTCAACACCATAGCCGACCTCTCTCATGTACCAGGTACGTATCTCGTCTCCCCTCATCAGACCCTGTCCTCCCACACTCGCCTCCTTCCTGAAGGCCACTGATCGCCCTCTCACCCCCTAGCGCCCTGCAGACCGGCTATGACTGCTCGCTCACCGCTGCCCAGCAGCGCCCCTCTTCACCTCACAAGCTCCCGCACGCGCCCTGGCCGCTAACGCAGCATGCAACGTCTCACGCAGCAATGCAGCAGAGTGACCGCATTGCCTGCGTGGGCCAGAATGCCAGACCCAGGCTGCCCTCCTTCCTATATGGAAGTGGCAGCCTCTGCTTGGCAGCGTTTGGCTGGCTGGAAGCTTCCAGTAGCTTCCGGTTGGGGCCCGGTACCTGTGCCCAGGCCCAGTGCTACAGTTGAGGGCCCGTGCCCTTAACAGTTGGGCACGGCCTGATGTATCGGTCCTGCATTGTGTGTATGTCCCCAGGAGCAACTGCCACAGCCTGGGCCAAACTGTACGACGCAGCTTAAAGAGGGTCATGCTTCCACTCAACCACCTGGCGGGGTGTAACAGCCTGAGTACCCACATATGAAAAATGTCAAATTTTGGGCTCTAGTGAATATTCAGGCCCGCCTTCACTTAGGGCGGGCACTTGGCTTGCTGGGGGCCTCTGCCCAGAACATGTGCATGTCTGATAAGGGCCCCATGAGGGCTCATTCCTTGCACAAGCAAGGGCTGGCTCAACTTTACAATGTTGACTCACCTTGCCGGGCTTGCCCAGCCTCTGGTCTCCTGGGGTCAACCGGCCCAGATCAATCGGAAGCCAATGGCCTGGATGCTGCTCAGTTGCAGATTTTCCACATTTCCCACTTGGATTCTTCTGGGTACCTGCAGAGTCTGGGCAGACAATTAACGATGTGCATCTGATCTACGGCCATGGCTGACCAGCGAGTTGACTTTGACCTTTGGGCCTGAAATCCCGTGCTGGGGTTGACCGTTGACTTTCCTAGAGTCAACTGTCACTCGTTGGGCCTTTGAACGCTGTTTTTGGCCCAGCCCTGGGTACCCCTTGGCGTTTGGCCTTTGCCCAAGCTGTTCTCAGACTTAGGATATGACTTTGATCCCTGTTTCAGGCTTTTGACCAAAAAATATGTTCCCTTGATCGCGTCAATGCAGATTCTGAACTGAGTTATTGCAGAAGAACGAGACAAGTGAAAAAGAAGAAGGCAGGCAAGAAGGAGACGAAGAGGAGAAACACAAGTTGGAATCAATGTGATCTCCCTCCTTAGCTCACCGCCTTCACCTCTCCCTCTTCATCACCTCCACGATGTTAATAAAAGTAATCAACAGCGACAATAAATGAATTAACCAGAGTCAATGTCTGACTGTCCCCCCTTATTGCCAGCCTTGGAAAGAGCTATCCTTCAGCCCACTTCACATTCCTTCCACCTCGGTATGGCTACCCAGGCCTGTCATCTCAGCGGTCTTCTTGATGCAGTGCCAACCATGCAGATAAAGATGTAAGTCCACAATAGGCAAAGTTGAGTCTTCAGGTCCCTCTCTACAGCTCCATAGCCTGGCTAAAGGACCATCTCCCTCACCTCCAAAGCCTAGAGCTACTTCTACTTCACCCTACTACTCCTCCATAGCCATGGAGGTCTTCTCCTTCACCTTCCAGCTCCAGCTTTAACCTCCAGGAGCACCGGCAACTTTTCCCTCCAGGCGGAGCAGCTGCATGACTGCCGGGTGGATGAGCGAAGTGCTCATTGTCCCACGTAATATACTTTTTGCCTCACCTAGCCTCTAGACCTTCCTGCTGGGTGCTACTCACTACTTCAGTGCACCAGGCCTACTGGAAGTTCCAGCCTTTTGGCAGGAACATCTCTTTTGTCTGAGATCCTACCACAGGGCCTGTATCAGCCTACATATGGCCCCAAGTACTCGTGACCGCTTTTGAAAGCTACCCGACGGTTTTAAGCCTACTGGACTTCCCTTGGGCCTATCCGAGTTGAAGGAAACCCCTAATGGCTCCTAGCCCAATTCTACTTCTGCCCCTGTCCATCTTGGCCTTCCCAGAAGTCCATCCGGTGCCCAATTTCAGTCCCTTTCCTGTAGTTTGACCTAATTACCATTTTTTGCCCTGTCCGAGGCACAGCCACACATCACGGCCAACAGACTTTTCAGACTTACTTAGACTCAGGCAAGCACACTGCACACATGTTAGCGGCAGATCACACGCATCACAGACTTACTTAGAAATACAGCAAGTCGTGCCTCCAACTTTTCAGAACTCCGATCAAAAGACAGCATCTTCTCATCGAGTTGCAGAAATAACAGACCACTTGTGCAGGCCATTGCACTCCAAAATGTGAGGCCCCTTCGCTTACTAGTCTCAGTGGTACATTTCAAAGCATCAAAGGCACAAAAGGGAAACATTGTGATTGTGTGCTCCTGCGAGGAGTACTTACAGGGCCTGTATCGACCTACATATGGCCCCAAGTACTCGTGACCTCTTTTGAAAGCTACCCGACCTTTTTAGGCCTACTGGACTTCCCTTTGGCCTATCCAAGTTGAAGGAAACCCCTAATGGCTACTAGCCCAATTCAACTTCTGCCCCTGTCCATCTTGGCCTTCCCAGAAGTCCATCCCGTGCCCAATTTCAGTCCTTCCCTGTAGTTTGACCTACTTGCCATTTTTTTCTCTATCCGAGGCACAGCCACACATCATGGCCAACAGACTTATCGCACGGACCCAGACTCGCACTCAGGCCTCCAACTTAGCACACTGCACACATGTTAGTGGCAGATCACACACATCACAGACGTACTTAGAAATACAGCAAGTCATGCCTCCAACTTTTCAGAACTCCGATCAACAGACAGCATTTTCTCATCGAGTTGCAGAAATATCAGACTACCACTTGTGCAGTCCGTTACAGAAATATCAGACTACCACTTGTGCAGGCTGTTG